TATATATATATATATATATTACGAATGGATGCACAGAAAATTTTAAAATCAAACTATGCAATATTAAGCTAAATCCAAAAATATTTGTAATATAGCTAACATTGAGATTTGTTTACTACAAAATTAACGAGAGAAAAAAAAAAAGCCAAAGACACTTGGGAATGGGTTACTGACACTTTTTTATTTAAAAAACAAACAAAGTTAATAATTAGGAGTGATTCGTTAATGCTCTTGAAATTGAGTTATTTCTAATATTGTGGAGTTTTGATGAGTTATTTCTAACTTTGACACTTCTGTTTTTTAAAAGAAAAAGAGATGGGTTGGTTGTACAACTCTTGAATAAGTAGCTTCGTAATAGAATTTAAGGGTCCACCAAACTATATAGAGAAGAGATTTTTTTTCTTCCTATACCATATATGAAACCTTATTACCAAAAATGTGCATAGTTTCATATTTACCCGCTATATTCACAGTTATTCTACAAATATTATATAATTCATTAAATACCAATTATTAGGAGTTGATTCCTTCCTAATTAGGCGCGCTACAAATCTGGAACTAAATATTCTTCTAGATATTCCTATTTAGGCGCACTACAATTATAGAAGTAAATATTCTTCCAGATATTTCATTAAATAAGGAATCATTGTAGCATTAAAATTCCTTATTTAGATATCTCTAATTTTTTTTTTTTTCTCTTTGAGAGATCAAATGACGTGAATAATCAGAGAGACAGAGTATGAGACCGGCTTTTGAAAATTGTTCCTATTTTCACCTAATCTTTCTGCTTATAGTCTCACTTAAACTTGTAGCTGAAAATATCGTTATACTTTTTTTCCATGAAAAATAATAAGTTGACAAATCTAATAGTTGATGTCACTAGGTAGTATTTTTCAAACTCAACAAAGTAGTTGATGTAGCTTTCTAATATATTTCCCTCAATCTATAATTGAGAATACTATAATGAATCTTTAAGATTATGTCTAGTCGAAAATCTCAATTAAACTACAATCGAATGAGAATTGGAATATTAAAATTCAATATACCCAGTTTGTAGATATTTTGTAGATGAATTGTAGATTATTTGTATTATGATTGCAGATACTTTGTTTTTTGTTTTCATAAATCAAAAACGACTAAAACTTCTACAATCTTTTTCAAAAAACGCAGTTATGTCGAAAATTCCAATTAAACTACAATCAAATGGGAATTGAGATATTAAAATTCAATGTACCTATTTTGTAGATATTTTATAGATAAATTGTATATTATTTGTATTCTGATTGTAGATGCTTTGTTTTCTATTTTCACAAATCAAAAACGACTAAAACTTCTACAAATCTTCTACAAAAAATGCAATTATGTCGAAAATCCCAATTGTGCTATAATTGAAATGAGAATTGGAATATTAAAATTCAATGTACCCAGTTTGTAGATATTTGTAGATAAACTGTAGACTATTTGTATTCTGATTATAGATGCATTGTTTTCTGTTTTCACAAATCCAAAACGACTAAAACTTGTACAAATCTTCTGCAAAAAACGCAATTATGTCGAAAATCCCAATTATGCTACAATTGAAATGAGAATTGGGATATTAAAATTCAATGTACCCAGTTTGTAGATATTTTGTAGATAAAATGTAGATTATTTGTATTCTAATTGTAGATGCATTGTTTTCTCTTTTCACAAATCCAAAACGACTAAAACTTTTACAAAATCTTCTGCAAAAAACGCAATTATGTCGAAAATACCAATTAAGCTATAATTGAATGAGAATTGGGATATTAAAATTCAATGTACTCAGTTTGTAGATATTTTGTAGATTATTTGTATTGTGATTGTAGATGCTTTGTTTTCTGTTTTCACAAATCAAAAACGACTAAAACTTCTACAAATCTTCTGCAAAAAATGCAATTATGTCGAAAATCCGTTTTAACTTTAAAAATCAACATCCACACCCCTAAAGAAATAAAAACAAAAATAATTGCCAGGGAAATTCTTTCTAGTTAAACAAATGTCAAATAACCAAAAATGAATCGGTGGTCATAGATTAAATTTAAAAAAAAAGTTGGAAACAAGGAGCACTTCAGATCTTGACTAGCCAACTAAGTCAATTGGTTTGCATGAAACAGAAGTACATACTAAAAGTTATTTGACATGATTAATGTTCGCGCATTCGCACGAGTACTAATACTAATTTGAACTACAACAGTCAAAGCACTTCATTTTCGTTATAAATGTCGATTTCAGTTCTTTAATCTTTTTACGAGCCAATTTAGATATAGATCATGGTAAGTGCTTCCTTGATCAAAGTGGGTTGTTTTTGTTAGAGAGCGCTACTGATATATACGTGTTTGTTAATCCTAGTGGTACTAATAGTTTGTTTGAATAGTTATTATGTATAGTTTTATAATATAACGTATGGTATTATATAGTATTGTATTGTATTATTTTGACGTATATACTATTTGGATATATTGTTAATCATGGTTTCATAATATTATGTACCAACAATATTAAAAAATAAACTTATAATATAATAATAAAAAAGTAATTATAATCAAAACATATATGGTATAACGAGGTGCTCTATAAAATACGGTTTATCCAAAACGAAAACAGGTTGTCACAGTCAGTTTCACAAAACATCGTCGAAACCTTCTTCCTCATAAACAAAAAGTTCAAAGAGCTCAAATTTCTGCAACCCTAATGGAATTTGAGAGAGACGAAGTTTCCAATCAACACTCAAAGCGGAGCACACGCACAAAACGTGCTCAATCGCCATCAAATTCCGCCTCCAATCGACACCCAAAGGGGAGAAAACGCACAAAACGAGCTCAATTTCCATCAAATTCAATTCAAGATTCAAACTTGACAATCCCTGCTCTTCCACCAGAACTCATCACTGAAATCCTCTCAAGGCTTCCAGTCAAATCTCTCTTGAAATTCAGGTCTGTTTCAAAATCTTGGGTTGCTATAATCTCTAGCCCTGAATTTATCAAGACCCATCTCAGCTTATCAGCTAATAAAAACAAGGAAGACACGCACCATATGCTTATATTAGGTCTTAGTGGACCTAAATGGAAATTTAAAGATTGTCCTCTTAGTTCTTTATTTTGCGACTCTGTTGTTAACGAGGCTTTTGACTTGGTTTATCCCATTAAAAATGCTAGTAAAGATATCAGTATTGTGGGTTCTTGCAACGGATTGATTTTGCTTGCCCACTATTCAGAATATTCGTTACTATGGAATCCAGCAATTAGAAAGTGCAAGAAATTGCCTGATTTAAGACCTAGATTGAAGAAAAATAACTATGCCGTGTATGGTTTTGGACATGATGAGTTCCATGATGATTATAAGGTAATGGGTGTTTTTAATAATTATGGCGGTTCAGATTACGTTGAGGTCAAAATGTATAGTCTAAAGAGTGATTCTTGGACTAGTGTTGATTATTGTGGGGAGATATTAAATGCTTCAGGATCTTCTCAAAAAATGAAATTAAATAATTCAGGTTTGTTTGTGAATGGGAAGCTTCATTGGGATACTATTACTTCTGGTCCAGTTGTGCGTACGGGCAAGAACATCATTTCTTTTGATTTAGCTAATGAGAAATGGGAAAAGTTGGAGAAGCCCTCCGGCGTTGGAAAGAATGAATTGTGTGTGGGAATGTTGGGAAGTGATCTTTCTATCTTTTGTGATTATGAAGAAACTTATTTAGGTGCTTGGGTTATGAAGGAGTATGGGGTTAAAGAATCTTGGGTAAAGATGTTTACTATCGAGTATCCAAAAGGTCAATATTTGTATCCACCCTTTTTCATGTCAAGTAAAGGTGAAATATTGGTGGTGTTTGGATCAACTTTCATGATATACAGTTCAAAAGATCACTCGGTCAGATACACATATGTTACTAACTCTGGTGATTGTTCTCTTAATGAAATCTACATTGAAAGCTTAGTTTGTCCTTTTTCTACTGAAGGGAGAGAGAACGCAACAAAAGAACGGGAAAAGCTCAGATCAAAACAATCGAGTAACAAATAACTTGTAAGAGTACTGTCCAAATTCTCTTTTTTATTTCAAATGTAGAACAAGACGCGTATGTGAAGTATGTCTTTAAACCATATTGCTTCTGGACTAGTTTTGGGCTGCTAATCGCTAGATGTATATTTTCTTCAAGACTAACTTCTCATTCTTTTACTTTTTTGGTCAATAAAGGATAAATATTTTTTCACCTTGACAGTAACATTGACATAACCAAGATGCATTGCAAGGATAAAGCATTTTAGGAAGCTAATT